CGTCTGGCGTTTCTTCGATGGTATCCAGAGAAACCACTCGTACACCTTCCAAACCGCCATGGGATAGCAGAGCTTCCTTCAGGTCGCTGGCGGTGCAGACATCATGGCCTTCATTAATAAATGCCCTAATGTGGCTTTTACAGCTCGCAGCTAGTCGATCTGCAGCCCCTTTCCCGCCTTGCGGGTCGCTGAAATCAACGCGGACTATCTTCACTCCGGTGTTCGCTGAAATTTCTTGGCACTTCGTTAACGTGCGGGAGGAGTGGTAGCAGCCGTTGATTTCAGGATACTCTTGCTTCAATGTGGCTAGAACATGTTGCATAATCGCGGTAACAGCAGAACTTCCTTGGGTACAGGACTGAATCACATGGATAAAGGCTTGCCACTGTAGCACACCCTCTATTCGTCTGTATACCACAGATATGTGCCAAGAAATACCCCGCTTACCAAACCAGTCTGTCTGTGACTCGCGGTATCTCTGAGGCAAGAACTTCATGGCCCAGTCATTTACAATGAATACTGTTCCAGAATTAAGGGCATCGATGACATCCAAACGAGCCTGATCTTGATGGGTCGACCTCAGCAAATGGCACTTCCATGACTGGATGGCACGCGTAGCAGAGCTAACGAGAAACAAAGCTTCGTCTTTTTCTTCTTTTGTGGTAAAAGATGCTTCATCGACCGCAGTAGATATGTCGTTCAGGGTCGAATGCAAGCTTTCACATTGGTCACAGAGCTCGTCATGGTTGTGTTTGCATTGCTGCCGCAGGTCAGAATCTTCGGTGTCACTCAGAGCAAATACACTGCAATGACTTGCAACGGGAGAAGAAGACCTCACGTGAACCTGAGTGATAATAGGAAACACAGCTTGACACAAAGCATGGATTACCATGTTACTGCAACATTAACGACCAAAAAATATTTGCAATATGTATGCTTCATGTTATCTAAATCGAATAACCTCAATAATCTGAGAAGATAAAATCTATTACAAGCATAATTTATACTGATAAAAAACGAATACCAAGAGCAAAAACCGACGTATATTTCCCAGTCTGGGTGGACCTGTCATCGGAACGGTTTTTTCGTGCCATACTTCCATCCATTTGTGAAATAAGATCACCCTGCTTGAAAAGCATAATCCAATTTTCTTGGAACTCTTCACACTTTCGGTTGCTTACCTTGAAATCACCCTTCAGGTAGAATTTGGCCACCTTTAATGATTTCACGTATCGCACTTGCCACTCCTTTCCACGACCAAGCTCCCCCAATTGAAGAACCAAGCCTTTTAGTTCATCGAACGCACGCGCCCCGTCTGCTGCAAAATAGTCAAGGCCTTGGAGAGACTTTCTGGTCGAGGCCTTGCATTCATTTAGAACACGCAGCATCGTCCGCTCGCTGAACGCCTCAAATCCAGTCTCTTTGCAGTACTGGGTATACTGACGCACTATCCTTTGCGGTATCATGGTGCGAATAACATTGGGTACTTCAACCAGTTGTCCAGAGGAGAGCTTCAGTGTTTTTTGTCCAAATGGCAGATCTTGCACCAAATGGGGGCTTGTTATATAAGATAAAAAGTGATCCAGTTGTCTTGGGTCGACTCTTATCTTTGATGAAGGCTAGGGGGTCACTGAAGCGCCGCTTCCGTGCTGAAGACGATGCAGATTAGCTATGGTAAAACGATATCTACTTAAGCCAGGTATGAATCTCGAGATATCATTATAATTGGAAACACCACTCATCATCGAAAGAATTTGCCGTCTTGTGTCCCACCCATGGGCTTTGTCATATGCCTCAGCTAAGACCTGGAGGTAGCATTTGGAAGTTTCGGAGAGTTCGTCCAGCCCGAGTGCTTCGTTCATGGCAGGATAAGAGACGACTGCTTGCCAAAGAGAACCTGCACAACTGGGTGTTAGGTCGTGGAGCACAGAAGAAAAAATCTCTGCGGTTTGTATAGTATACCGAAGCTTAGTGCTGTCACTGGCCTTTTCCCACTCAACCCAAGGTTGAGAGACAGGTTCAATGTTTTTGGACACCAGATACTCGTTCAACTTTTCACGGGAATTTGGCTTTGAGGTGATGCTCTCTTCACTCGTTGAGGAGACGAGGCTTGCAGTATCGGGACTGAGAAACGTCTCGTCATCCTTCAACCCCTGGGATGATATTTCCAGAAACATCAAGTCCGTCTCTAGACCATCAGAAGATGACTCACTGCCAGCACTTGATTCCTCTCCTGGACGGTCTGTTTCCATCTCATGAACCTACGAAAAGGTTTGCTCTATAAGCATCAAATCTCTAAAACCGATTTCTTTGTATATGTTTGTAGGGAATCAGTTTCGGGTAATAAAAAATCTCAGCAGCACCAGGTACTGTCTCGGGACATCCAGAAAACAAACAAATGTGGGACAGGAATTAGCCTACCAAAGTGCGGCATAGCACCGCTCCCCTTCCCCACCCCTCATATAAAAAAAGTGACCGAAAAGCAGTGAGTTTTACTGGTCAACGAAGGAGCCTTGTCCCAGATTAACAACTGTGTTTGTCACGCTGTGTTTGTGTTTGTCACGTGTTTTTTCTTCCTCGATTTTTTTTCCAATTTCTATGCTCTTCTTAAAATGACTCTTTTCCTTTTAAAAAACAAGATTGAGATCATCAATTCATATTTGAAGCTTACCATTGTCTGTTGTTCAGGTATCTGCACCACTCGAGGCTCTTTAGGGGTAGACACAGTACTTGCTCCAGCGCCCTCCGCCGGCGTCTGTTCATCTGCAACTTGCCTGCAGATAAACTCGTCGCATCGCCTACAAATTGCTTTTATTAAAAAAAAGCAAAGTAAATAACTCATATCAATTACTATTTCTAGGTATAAAGTAATCAATCTGTCATCAATCAATGGATTATCAGCTACTCAGACGAGAAAAAAACGTTGGCAATATAAATTGCAGTTTCCTCACAAATATAAAATTTGCTAGCTTGAGAAAGTTGAAACTTATAGTGCTTTTTTTTCGTGTAAGGTATTACAAATAAACGTGAGAAAAAGCAATTTCATGAGAACATTTATCAACAGAAGCAATTCAACTTACGCGACCCAACTGGAACTAAGGTGTTGGTGTTGCAAAAAATATACATCGATTTTCGGCTATCCACACGGTTGCTTCCTTTGGCACTTGAGGACTTATGTGTCGCTAGATCCTTGGGAATTGCACAAAGGGTTTTCCTAGTCCTCCAACGTATGCCAAAGTCTGCCCTATGGCGTGGGCAAATAGTCAGGGTAAGATGTTTTTGCTCAAATGAGAAAACACCTGTAAAAAATATAACACCAATTAAATCTGTTGCAGCACTCATTCATAAGCACAATAAAGTTACCTGAAAACACACAAAATCAATATTTACCGGCTCTGGCTAATAGCAGCTTCATTTCAGTTCTAGAACCTTCATCTGCACTCAGTCCAAGAGTCGATAGATGTCCAGTTACATCTTTCGTGCAATCCTCGAGTGTAATGCATTCCACTTGACCAGGATAATCAGGAGATCGCCCGCAAGGGGTCACCTTACCAACTAGCGTTATATAGCTACAGAGAGCCATAAAATGACAAGAAATAATAACTTCTGATGAGAGCACGTATGAGAGCTCAAGACTCGTCCGTGAAATAACTTTCCTTAGATCTGTTACGAAATTTCAACCATTTGCGCAAGAGCTTCGTGGGCAGTGATGACGTGACAGGCTTTACCACGAGAGAAAATTGTGTTTGAATTACAGCATCTTGGTCAAGATGGTGCGAGATGTTGGAAGCTCAATGAAAATACATCTGAGATTGAAGTATAATAGTGTTATCGTGTAGTTATCAGACCTTGAGTAAAGTTTTTGTTTTCAGTCTTTGGTATATTTCATGATGACAGCCCATTTAGGGTCTCATGTGGTGCGGCCAGTGTTTGTTGGGACCGGATGTCGGTTAATTATGATAAATGGGAACAATTAGCGTTAAGACACTGAACTGCTTGTAAAGAATGCTGTTCTCCTTCTGTATTCGCTGGAATTCTTGATTTATATATACATATATATCTAAAACAAACTAAAACAAAGCCCTTGCAGATGAAATGTTTAAAAGTCATTCAACAGACTGATCAATTATCACAATTTTCGTAATCGTAATACTTGTAATGGTGATCGATGAAATGACTGTAAGAACATTTTCGACGGTGATTTTATTTTCTCTCAGCTCTCACACAACTCTGAATGTACGACTTCACTATAACTCAATATTTTGTGGAATACAAGTCAAACATTTCCAGAATTAAAGTTTATTTTAAAACCTTTTTCCACCAGGGAAGGAATGATAAGATTAGCGTTTGTTTACACAACACACATCATTTTGCTCGCTCTGGACACAAACATTTGTGGTATTTTCGAAGGGAAGCGGTCCGATTCAAAGCATCAAAGTTTACTCAGGAAATAAATAGTATCATTATATTACGAATATTAATTTAAAAAATTGAAAAATGAGGTACCAGGTACACTTTTATCGCGTTAAATTTAACCTATTTTTTGCTGTCATATTAAGCGCACTTTGAGGGTGTTGCTAAGAAGACTTAAAAATTCTCAGTATCAATGTGTACAGAAAAATTAACATAGTGAAAATGGATGGGAAGGCTTTTTCTTATATCGTGTGAAGTTTGGTGTCAATTGAATTCATTTTAAGCCTTCAACGGAGCTTGGTTTTTGCAGTGAATTTTGGACAATTTGATAGGCGGAAAACCGCACTTAAACCGCGTTTTCAAATTTTCGCCAATTTGTAAAAATTTAATAATCGTCGGAACTTTTAAACTTGATTTTTGAAAATAGTTTACCAAAGGGTATCGTTGGGCAAAATATGAGCAATTCATCAAATTGGTCGTTGACGGACGATTCTCGATCCTAACAGGCAGCCATTCTTAAGACAAATAAAGATATCCCTTCATGTGTGTATTTCAGTCTAACATCTGCACCGCGCTTTTTCAGGAAAATGGACTACAACAAAATTGAGAGGCTTCATGAAGATCAATTCCAGGGCTTAGTGAAGTTGTTCGAGTTGTAAGTACACTTAGATTTTAAACGTTAATTTTTCATTATGATCTGTTGCAATCTAAAGCATATTTTAGAACCAGCCCATTCATATGAATTTTAAAAAAACTCATTCAGTGAATAAAAGTTGACATGAAAAATGTCTACAAATTAACCATATTTATATGGAGAGAGGTGATACCCAAAAAAGTGCATGATAATCATATATTAGCAAGGTTTTTCTTTTTAACGTGTAAGCGATAAACGGCTCAAGTGCACAAATGAGATTTCTGTTCATATTCGTCCTTCAGATTATAGAGCCGCAATGATAAAGTTAACTTGAAAGGAAAAGAGCTTTTTTGAACAAAGAAAAAAATGGCTTTAATTTAGCTGAGTCTATAAATATTGAGTTTAAGTGCAAAGGTTTGGATTAAAACGGTGATGAAATTAATTTTCTGAGGGAATTAACTTGCACATATATTAGTTGGAATAGAAAATCAGGAGCCATAATAGGTAACGCCTTAGTAAATATAGTTAGTATCCTCTGTTAGTAATAGCCTCTATAATAAACGGATCACAATCTTTGTCACCAGATCGATATAATTGTGGTATAATTTTGATATCAGTTTTGCTGTTTAAATTAGATGTGCCATGCCTAGTTATGCTATGTTACTTGTATATTAATTTTAATTCCCCCTCACCTGTTTAAGACACCTCTCGGAGAACAGAATCGAGGCTTTGCCTGACAAGATTTTCGAGGGCGTTAAGGACCTCAAGGGCCTGTGAGTACAGCTGAAAACATACGAAACAATTTCTTAAATTGTTTTAAAAGATAAAAATGTACATAATAGAAAGATGCACAATATGGAATTCTTTATCTTTATCTTTATTCTTTGATCTCCAACAGGCGTGGTGTAAATTGTAATGCTCAACAGCGAAATTTTATTACTATCTACTTTCTTGACGAAAAAAAGGTGGCTTGCTATAAACATGGTTTTATTGAGCAAAGGTGGATATTATCAAAAAAGCAAACAAACATAGTGGAGAACTATGATAGTTCCGACGGCAACTTCAGGTGTAATTTATAAGAATCAAACAATGAAAGACCCTGATTACCATCTGCTAGTTAATAATTATGTTATTACTTTTTACAGAAGTATCTTTGGCAATAAAATACAAAATGTCACCAGCACGACTTTCAGTCATGCCCGGGAACTGCGATTTTTGTAAGTTCACTGCAAATGGCAGTTCTTTATCACGGTACCTACAATAAAGCCGCATTTATTGCAATCGGATAAGATGCAGGTGTGAAGTTAATTTAGAGTATTATAGTTAATTGGGTATAATTTTTAATTTTGTTAAAGTCAAAGGAAAGGCTTGGGAAAATGAGATATACAATTTATTATAATCTAACTTTATTTTCACCTTCTATTTAAAATTTGCAGGTTCATACACTACAACCTGATGGCTGAGCTCCCCATAGGCTTTTTTGGGCTTCTGCCGCACATTATCAGAGTGTAATACTCCATTATAATAATTTAACACGACGGCTTAGTAGGAGATCTGGGGCGGATGTTGTCTGAATTACCTTTGAAATAGAAATTATTTTCAAATTGTAATGTGGGTGATGCAACCATTTTAATAATTTTGTTTCCTTCAGTCTGTTATGGTTCAGTTTATGCCAACATCTTCTATCTATTCCGATACTGAAATGATATGAAGCCACATTTAGATATTAAATACCATTGCCTAAGGTATGCTTCGCGAGGCTCTCTAATTGCTATTAATTTATGAAAAAATACTCATCAATTATCTTTGCCTCAACATAGATCATCATTTTCTTGCCGATTGTTTTCGATAATCTTTATTATTTTGCTCTCATTGTTCTAACGATGTACCCTTTCTAATTTCCCCTTCTTTTTCTAATTCCAGAACTCTGGACACCAACCTGATGTGCTGCCACCTTGATCTTTTCAGGCAGGATGCCGATTGCGAATTTGCCTTCAATGATAACTTTGCAAGCTGTCACTCCATGTTCCGCAACCTTGCTCCAAGGAGAAGTCTTTGGGTTGTCGGCCTTCTCTCGTTGCTTGGGTCTGTGTTTGTAGTTGGGTGGCAATATTTCTTCCCTGATAACAATATGGTCCAGTCTATTATGTTGGTAAATCTTGGTATTTCAGACGGCATCATGGGTATTTACCTCATCATTATAGGTATAAAAGACCTGCAATGGTCAGGGGAATACTACCTGCACGACTATGAGTGGCGCACCGGCTGGTTTTGCCATTTCAATGGCGCCATGTCTGTCCTTTCAAGCGAGGTGTCTGTTATGATGATTTCTCTGATTGCATGGGACAGGCTCAAGAACATTGTGTTTCCTTACACGTTTGCAAAAATTACACCAAGGCAGACCCGTATTATGTGCGCAGTTATCTGGCTGGTGGGAGGCATTATGGCATTCCTTCCCTTGTCTGGAATGCGATACTTTGGTGACTGGTATTATGGCAAGAACGTGGTGTGCCTGCCACTGCAACTTTCCCCGCAGT